CCTCTCTTCTTCTTCTTCTTCTTCTTCTTCTTCTTCTTCTTCTTCTTCTTCTTCTTCTTCTTCTTCTTCTTCTTCTTCTTCTTCTTCTTCTTCTCACTCTCTTGCTCTCTCGCTCTCACTCTTGCTCTCACTCTCTCCCCTCCTCCCAACTACATTTCAGCTTAGACTTTTTCAAGCTACCCAGAACTTAGCTGCAATTTCGCATTGTTGGGCCTTGAGGCTGACAGGGAGCTCAGCTGTCATCCCTGGAGCCTGAGACCTGGGTGTCCTCAGGGTCTGGGCTCCACTGTATCACCAGCCTCCAAGCCCCATTGCCTCACTGGCTGTCACTTACTTTTGGTTGAAAATCTTTCCAGATTCTGGTGATGCTCTGCTTCACTTCCCTGTAATCTACAGGCAGCTGGAGAGTCTGCAGCTCCATCTCCACGTCACTCCCCAGGCCCAGCTTGGAGAGTTCCTGCAGAAAGAGCCTGTTATGATAAAGTGACAAAAGTGCGTCCCTGAAACCCCAGTCCTTGGGCTTTGCCCTCAAGGTCCTCTGTAGTGTTGGATGCTGTCTCTCCTCCCTGAAGCTCATGCAATGGAAGAACAATGCACAGGAGAAAATCTGCATTGCAAGAAGGTGGAGGAGGAGCTGAAGTGAGCTACAGGTACCAGAAATAGCAGGTCTTTTGGAAGAAAGCCAAGAGAATGACACCTTAGAAGTGTCCATTTCATTCTTGGTAGACGTCCTACCAGGTACATGAAGTTTTCTACAAAAACTGCAGCATATCAAGATGGTCTTTGTTTAAGGGTTTAATTTGGTTTCTCTTAGCTGCTAGTGAGGCAGGACCTAAAGACTGTGTGTGCTTGGATAGAGGGTGGCCAAGGAAGGCCTGCTTACAGACCCGAGATAGGAGCTGTGGACCTTCCCTGGGGGTTGGAGGTGACCTGCATAGATGTGGAGCTCCTGAGCTGTTCTTATCCAGGGATGAGTGTTTTTCCTGGCCCAGTTTTGGCACCTCAGCTCTGTCTCTGTCCAGCTCAGCCCTCCTGAGGGGCTGTTCTTTGTCCTCCAGACACCTGCTTGGCCACTCAACTGGCTCAAGCTCCATTCTCTTCCCAAGAGAACACTACCATTTGACATAAGTGGCAATCATTTGCCTGACTGAGAGTGGGAGGCAGGAAGGAGGCCAGAGGGACAGGAAGTCACACAGGAAGGCCACGCAGAAAGGAGCCCTGCAGGCCAGGGTATCCTCCGCATGCTCAATTCCAGTTCTGCAATACTGTCATGGCCTCCTCTCCTGAGTGTCACATGAAGCCAGGTAGCAAGCCACACAGTTCAGGGAGTGGGGGCTGGAAGCTGTGATGCTGGGGTACCTGGGACTCCTCTCTGCAGGTGAGAAGGCCTTGGCTGGTCTCAGGGCTGCCTCTCAGACGCCACCCCCGTGAAGAACTCATTTCTCCTATTTGGTAGTGATCTCCTGGGGTCTTTGGCCGGGCTCTGAGCAGAGGTTGTAGTGCTGCCCTGGAACTAGAGCTGCCTGGGAATCTGCTGTTCCCTGAAGTCCAGTCTAGCTTGGCTGCCAATGGAATGCCTGGTTAAATACATTAGAAAACCCAACAACAGAACGTCACTCACAGGATGGAGAGAGCCACCCTGAGCTGCGTGCCTGCACTGTCCCTGAGCTCCCCTGGCCCAGGAAGTTGCCTGCAAGCTCTTCTTCGCAGAAGAATGCAGCTCTGCTTCTGGCGGCAGCACTTGCCAAAGCCGGAGTGAAGCAGGCACCTGCCAGCAGCCTTTTCTTTCCACCGCATCCCAGAACCTTCGAGAAGAGGGGAAAGACACACCTCCGGACACCTCTGAGATCCTCCTGCTGCTGTCAGCTGTGGGAGCTGGGTTTGGGGAGTCCCTCCACGTTAGTCTCCTAAGGCTGCCATGGCAACACAGTCCACACAACGTGGCTTAGGACAACAGAAATGCATTGTCTCGTGGTTCTGGAGGCTGTAAGTCCAAAATTAAGGTGTCAGTGGGGCTGTGTTTCCTCTGAAACCCGTAAAAGGACCTTCCTTGTCTTTTCCAGAATTTGGTAGCTCCAGAGGTTCCTTGGCTTACAGTGGCATCGCTCCGGCCTTCACGTGGCCTTCACCCTGTGCCTCTTTGTACCCCTTCCCTTGTGTGCCCGTCTCTGTGTCCCACTCTCCCCTTTCCACCAGAACACAAGTGACACTGGACAAAAGCCTAGCATCACGACTTCATTTAACTTGATTGGATCCATAAGCCCCTCTCTCCAGTGAAGGCCTCAGGCCCTGAAGATTGGACATCCATGTCTCCTAATGGGACGAGGCTCAGGCCACAGCACCGTCTCAGCTTGCACTTTCCTGAAGCCTGCCAGCATCTATCTAGCAAAAGCAGAAAGTGCAGGGAAGCCACCGAGCAGACCATGCAGGCACTTACGGAGCCAGCATGGACTGAAAAGCATCTTAGGACAGGGGCATGAGGAGTGTATTTTACCACTCCGGGGAGCAGTGCGTAGGAGACTCCAGGGCCCTACCTGTGCCCATGACACACCTCCTGCTCTCGCCTGCCCTGGGGCTGCCCTCCTGCCCAGTCACATTGATGTTTCAATCCCTAAAATTCAAAGGTGCATGGCAGCTAGAATAAGTTAGATGTGTCACACGTTGCCCACATCAGCTCAGATCACCTTTTGCCACCAAATAACTTAGGAAACATGCTTAGCATTTAGAGAGTGGAAGAATTGGGTATGAAAGTTGCAGAGCAGGGCTGTGGGCCAGTGTGAGCTCAAACCTGTTCACATATCACATATTGAAGTTATTCTTTACAATCTTTATCTTTTCTTTACAATCTGGTATATTTTTTCAACTTAGATAGAATGTCACTCTCTTCCTTTGTTTCACAGCTGTCCCGAAGAAGGGAAGCTGCAACTTGTTACTACACAGAGGGGGCTCACTGCCATCCTGACTTCTGTGAAGGTACAGCCACTGTCCCCAGGACAAAGTCACTACTGCTGCCCATGCCATGGCTCTGGACATCCCTACCCCTGCTATACCTTCATGAAGCTTTAGGAGTAAGGGGAGGGGCACTGCGGCCATCAGGCCTTTGTCACAGAGGACAGAGAACATTATCTTCAGGGCAATCAGAGGCAGTAGCACTCTGGGGACAGGAGATCTCATGTCCCTTCACTAGCGAAGACCTTGCCCATGCCCTGGCCAAGCCTCTTGGATGGCCCTGGGAAGTCTGTGAGCATCCTCAGGCCACAGGAATGAGCCCTTGGGGATGCTCTGGCCTGAACTGTATCCCCGCAGGTTCACATGCTAAAGTCTGTCTTACTTTTGTCTCATTGTTGAGACAAAATACCCAACACCCCAAAGTTAAAGGGAAAAAGGAATATTTAGCTCAATTTATAGAGGTTCAGTCAATATAATTGGCTTGGCCTAAGGCAGGTGGCTTGGCAGAAGGGCATCCCAAAGGAGAAAGAGTTCACGGTGGCAGAAAACAGCGAAAACAAGTGAGGAGAGAGAGCGCCAGCCTGCTTTTGTCCCTTATAAGCAGGCTACCTGATCTAGGGCGGGTGTAGCACTCACACCCCCATCTCAGCCCTAGACAATGAAGCAATCATGAACTCTGGATTCAGCCCTCCCTATGACTACACAAGGCTTTGTGGGGGGACATCCAGACACAGACTGCGACATAACCCGAACCCCAAATGGGATGGGATTAGAACATGGATCCTTTGGGAAGAGATGAGATTAAGTCATGAGGAAGGCTCTCCATGGTGGCACTGGCATCCTTAGAAGAGGCAAGACCAGAGCCCTTCTCGATCTCAGCAGGTGAGGCACAGTGTGATGACGGACACCTGCCACCACGCAGGGAGCCCACATGGTATGCAGCTCTGCCAGCACCTCCTTCTGGCCTTCAAACCTATGAGGAGTCGGTGTCTGCTGCATGAGCCTTTGGAATTCTGGTACAGCAGCCTCAGCCAGCTGAGGAAGGGTTTCCAGAAGGTCTTGAGGTGAGGTCTGGCCAGATTGCAGAAATGTGCCAGCTCAGCCAACCTGCACATTGTTCGGCGTTAGCAGGCCACACACCATCTGGTTTGAGACATTAAGGAACTTTGTTCAACTCCATCCCACCTTGATATCATGGAGAGCGTCTCTGGCACTGTCTCCACTGGAAACTCCTGCTCTTGAAATGTCTTTGCATCCTCCCAACCCCCTCTACACACCCTGGTGTCCTCAGTCATTGGTATTGTGTTCTAGGACAGATTTTCTATAACTAAGCCAAGGCTGGTGGTCATTCTGAGTCTGGGTTGGGTATTGCCGGATGGGAGGGTTACACGCAGAATTGGAGCCTGAAGGCTTGGGCTTTGGGGTCAGTAAAATCCAGCCTGAGCCCTGGATCTTCCATCACCCTGTGCTGGGTTGTTAGTCCTGTCATTGCTCTCTGCTCTTCCAGTTTCTCACCTGTGTCATGGTCATAAGTGAGAGTCAAAGGGGTTCTCATGAATTTTAGATGAGCTGACTTACAAACACTTCATGAGTTTTAGGCAGCATGTAGTTGGACCTTTATAGGAAAGATGGATGATTATAATGAACCCCCATTAACTTGAGAAAGTCACACAAGATGGATTTGTTTAAAGTGACATTTATTAGTGTGATAAGTGTGGGCCCTGATGCAACAGCAGGAACATCCTGCACGAGCAGCCTGTGGGCCCCTGGCTGCCACCTCCACTTTTGCTGAGACAGGCTGGTGTCTTCTGCAAAGGGCATGTGGTCTGTGCACAAATGGAGAGAGCCAGGGTCGTGTTTTCTGAACTGGCACTTTCTCAAAGTTGTAGTCTTCTGTGCTAAAGAGGACGACCTGCACCTGGCATAAGCCCGCTCCCCAAAAGGGAACACAGCATATGGCACTTGCCAGAGGCATGACCACGCCCAGAAGGACGCTCAGTGTCCATGGCCAGCCCACAATGCCTCGAAAAAGCCTGTACCCGGCCAGTTGCAAAAGTCCTGTGGAGCCTGGGAGCCCGCTTTCTGCCTTTTTTTCTTTTCTGCTCATCCAGCTTGTGCACTGTCCAAAATCTGGTCGCCAGGAAAGACATGGCTGCTTCCCAGAGGGCCAGAAAAGAGGAAGACACCAATTGCTTTCCAAATTTCCTCAAGTCCTCTGAAGCGGGGGCACCAGCTGGTGTTGAGAAATAGTGGCTGCTTTTCCAAGAGCTGATTCTTGCCTCACCAGAAGCGGCCCTGGGCTGTGGGAAGGAGTTGCCTCACTTGGGGGTTGGAAGAGCTTCCCAAGGGCATAAGAGCTGTCTTAGTGTTTCTTACTCTTGAAGCGGGAGTAGAAGCCTCAGTACTGGACCTCACTGCTTCTACCTGTCCTTGGGGGAGTTTGTGCAGACGACTGGGCCTTGTTGAGCCTCAGTTTCCCTCCATGTGAAAGGTAGTATGCATAGGGCCTCCATGAGTTCTA